TAGGTTGAAATCCTCAACTTGATTGAAGTCAGTACTCGAGGCTCTGGTCCGAGTGTTAGTTGAAATGGAGTAAGTTGGATCCAGTGTAGTTGAAGAGGTATGGCCTAATTCCTTTTCCAGAGCATCCAGGGATTGTCATCAGGTGGGTCTTCATTTGCTTTCAGCACAGAAATTTTAACTTTTAGAGGTATGCATACTGGGGAGGGCAGCAATAGGGAAGATAACGATTATGAGGGAATTTAGACCTTTAGAGAAAAAACCAAGAATAGACAATGACAGTCCCTATTTTTTTTTCTTTTTCTGTCTTACATCAATTGACTTCTTGATATAATACAGAAACTCTAAAATTTAGTTAAACAACATGTTGGATTTTAGGGGAGGAAAGCCAAATCTAACTCTAAATCCAGCATTGATTTACTTGAATAGGGACTAGGAAATAAGGAGAAATAGAGTTATTTGAGAGACAGCTGTAAAGTTTCCCGTATGGCACATTAAATCCCCCTCTAAATCCAGCATTGGTTTATTTGAATACGAACTAGAAAATAAAGAGAAATAGAATTCTCTGAGAGAAAGCTGAAAAGTTTACCATATGGCATGTTCCTTTTGTTTGATAGTTATAGCTACCTTCTCTTCTTAAGAATCTACCCATATAGTGTTCATGGACTTCTGGAGACGAGTTTTCCTGTGAAGATAGAAGCAAAACACTTCCCTTTCCTTTGGGAGGTTTCTATTTAGTTTATGAGATATATCTCAGTAAATACCTGTCAGTCGTCCTTGTCGAGAGGTTTGTGTTGTCTTTTTAACTCAAATCTTGATCAATTTTGATGGTATCCAAAGTTTTTCTTCTCCTGTGGAAACAAATGCAAAACCCCTACCCCAATGTAATACATCTCCAGGTTTCCATACTGAGATCAGCACATCTTTGAAGTACACTGGTTGATTTAGTTTTTTTCTGTAGTCCAGTGTCTTTCCACAGCTGTTTGTCCTTTGTCATTGGCATTAAGAAAGTTTAGTGTCAAAAATGCATTATGCAACCTATGTTTGCATAGCTTGCCTATGGAGCATCTCCTTAAGTGTCCTATTAGATCTGTCAACAACTACTTGTCCTGTAGGATTGTATGGTATACCTGTGATATGCTTTATGTTATAATATTTGAAGAACTGTTCCATTTTTGTGGAGACATGTGCTGCAACATTGTCAGTTTTTATCTGTGCAGGTATGCCCATAACTACCATCACCTCTAGTAGTTGAGTAATAACGGAATCAGCTTTTTCAGAGTTGAGAGCAGTAGCCCATTGGAAACCTGAGAATGTGTCAATGGTATGATGCACATATTTCAAATTTCCAAATTCTGTAAAGTGAAAGATGTCCATTTGCAAGATCTCATTCCTCTGAATGCCTTTAAGATTACAGCCTGCTGGGAGCAGAGTTTGGTTATAAAAGGAACAAGTAGGACAGTTTCTCCCTATCTCCTTGGCTTGTTGCCAAGTGATGCAGAAGTCCTTCTTTAAACCTTTGCTATTTACATGATGCTTTTTATGAAATTCTGAGTCTTCTAGCACAGTGCCAATTAATAAATGATCAATCTTGTCATTGCCTTGTGCTAGTGGGCCTGCCTGGCAGACCCGTATGGGATCTGATATTCGTAATGTACAGAGGATTACTTCTGTTTTTTATTGTTTCCTGTAATTGTAAGAACAAAAAGGAAAGTTCAGTATTATCAGGGACAAATTCTGCAGTCTCTATGTGCAAGATGACTCTCTCTGCATATTGGGAAACAGTAACTATGTTAAGAGGTTTTGTGAAATCCATAAGCACCACGAGAATTGCATATAATTTTGCCTTCTGTACAGATGTGTATGGACGTTGAACTACTTTACTTATCTCACCTGCTTTATAACCAGCCTTACCTGATTTGTTGGCATAAGTGTAGAAGGTAAAAACTCCAGAAATGGGAGTAGGTCTTACAATGGGTGGAAGAATCCAGATTGTCTTTTTTATGAATTTAATTCTGTCAGTTTGGGGATAGTTGTTACTGATTGTTCCCAAAAAGTCAGTAAGAGCTATTTGCCAATATTCATTATCCGTCCATGAGCAGGAAATTTCATCATTAATTAAAGGTACTATAATTTCTGCTGGATCTTTTCCAGTCAGCTGATGAAGTCTTAATTTTCCCTTTAAAATCAAATCAGAAATCTTTTCTATATATGTCTTTAACTTTTTATTCTGTTTATGTGGCAGAAATATCTATTCTAATATAGTGTCTTCCCTCTGCATCAGAAGTCCAGAAGGGTATTCTCTGGATGGCAAGATGACCGGAATGCAGTCTAAATTAAGGTTTATCCGATCTACATGTGCATCCAATGTTCTGTTTTCTACCCATTGTAACTCTTTTTCTGCCTCAGCAGATAATATTCGTGGACTGTTTAGGTCCTTGTCTCCTTTTAGCATCATTTTTAAATGTTTTAAGTCATGTCCTTCTACATCAATAATCGTCTGTAATTGAGAAATTTCTCCTAGTAGCTTCTGAAGACTATTAAGAGTTTGATAACTGTCCCTTCTAATTTGTAACTTCTGTGGTCTAATTCTTTGTAAGTCTATCTTTAGTGCCTGGCTAGCTCAGTCGGTAGAGCATGGGATTTTTAATCCCAGAGCTGTGGGTCCGAACCCCACATTGGGCGCCAAGTATTGCGTGCACTCAAAGATGATCTGTAGGCTGTAATGCTAAGATTTCTTTATTCAGATAAACACCAGCCCAAATGCAAGCCAGAGCGTGCCCAGAGGCTGCAAGCTAGCATGGCCAGAGAGAGAAACTTCACGTGTTCGAGGCCTCTTAAGAATTCTCTCTGAGTCATCTTTGACCTCCCCTGACTATGCCCTCATGGGCGTGGCCAGGCACACCTTTAGGGGCTACTAGGAGGTGGGGCTACAGTGTCACACTACACTTATATCTGTTATTTTCATCTGTTGTTGCTTTAAAATATTGCTTTTGGGGCTGGAGAGATGGATCAGAGATGCAGCCCGATCTTCCATAGGAACTGGATTTGATCCTTAACACTCACTTGTTGGTTCTAAACCCTGTCTGTGTAACTCCAGTCTCAGGGAAATCTGACACCCTCTTTTCTCCTCCAAGGACACCAAGCATGCGTGTGGTACACAGGCATACACACAAGAAAAAGACATATATACATAAAATAAATAAATTAAATTTAAAGGTTTGCTTTTCTGCTATTTGTTTTTATTCTTTATGTGTAACTCACTGTATTAGATTGCCAGTTACTTGTGAGAATAGGCCTAAGTCATATCATAGAAATCAGTTTACTGACAACCATGGAAATTTGCTCTTAGTTTATACCTTCAGTATTCTTCCCCTTGTATTTATTTAAAGGAAAAAGATAAATCTGTGAATAGGCAGCTAAACGCAATGCTTGTGTCTCTCCCCTTCCCCTCTCACCCTGAATTTCCAAAGTGAATAAACAAAAGCATGCCAGAAATTCAGGCAGTCAGGAAGAGGAGAAGTGGAGGTCATAGATAATCTGGAAAATGAATAATCAGTGCCTCCATGATGAGGTATGATCATACTCATGTTTATGCACAATTTTATTTAAATGACAAACATTTTCTGTCTTACCTGTTACTCCATGGAAATGATTTTCCTGTTCTCTTTAGATAAGGAGCTAAAAGCTTAAATTGTGAACTCCATACCTATTTATTGCAAAACTTGGAGCAATAGAATGACAGATGTGGAAAGGTTGTCATAGGTCATCAAGCAGTTCCTTACATTTTCTCAGGTGAGCAACTAGGATATGTAGAGGGGAATGACTCCTATGTCACTCTACTGGCTGATAGGAGAGCTGAAGTTTTTGAACTTGTCTAAACTTATTTTGTCACATCATACCTGTGCATCTCAATATTTTGTTGCTTTTGTAAGTACGTGGATATCAGTTCTGTTGATTTCTTCAACTTTTCATTTTCCTCTCTAGGGTGCAAAATTCTAGCTGCTCTCCTCCTTACTTTCTTCTACATTCAGTGCCATTTATTCTCAGTATTATTGCTGTTATCAGGGATCCCATTATATCATGTGTAAATTTTTGGCTTTGTTTCACTACCTTCAATCCCTTTCTAATACTTAAACAACATTGCTAATAAAATGAATGTTTAAGAACAAAATGTGATTAAATACTGTTTCTGATTAAGTTAAACATTCAAAGACTAAACATCATTTATATCACTTATTACAGCTCAATCCTAAATGAGGTTCATTGTGGTCTTATTCACAGGTGTCCAACCTAGAGCCCAAATGCTGAATGTGACTCAGGATAGGCGCAAATGTGGTGCAACACAAAATTGTAAACTGATTCACAACATTATTAGTTTGGGGGCTATTTTTATGAGGTTCTTGAGCATGACTTTTGTAGATGCCAATGCTATATTGCAATGTCACATAAAATCAATGTATATAAACCACCATGTGTGCCTACAGATGGTTTCAATTTTAGAATGGTGTGCAGCTTCTAGAGTGTCATCTTCCAAGCTCAGACAGTTAAATTGATACCACCAAATGTTTCATAGTAACTTAAACAAGTTACACACAGCCTATATCAATAAATGTTTAACATACCATTATAAATGAGAGGCATTTAATGTTATTTGGAAAATGTAATATTCTTGATTATTAAGGGTGCTGCCACACCTCAGTCATAACTCACATATTGCCTCACAATGCTTTCCTGTGAGGGCTTCATTTTATGCTATATTAGCAGCACCTGAGCTGTAGAATGATCCAAAGTTGGCTTTCTATTTTCCTGCTGGTTAATTTCATGATAAAAGAAACCATATTACCTTACCTATTACCATTATTTTAATCCAAGCAGAGCTTTTACAATATCAAAAAAGAAAACAGAACCTAACTCCAAAAGAAAACTTAAGCATGAAGGAAGATTGTTGAATGAAAAATGGAAAATGATTGTTTTTTGTTGAGGCAAATAATAAAGTATTCTGACTATTGTGAAGGGAATTTGCTCATGTTTTCAAAGAGCATAGTTTGAAAAGGAATTGTACATGCAAAAATACTGCCAAATTCAGTGTGTATTAAGGACTGTGTTATCAAAGATCAGAAATTGCAAAAGATTTGCCTTCTCAACAACAATAAAAATATTACAGAGGCTAGAGAGATGGCTCAGAGGTTAACAGAACTGGTTGGCTTTGCATAGGACAAGTTTTGATTCCTAGTACTCACAAGGAAATTAAAAACTATCTGTATCTCCAGTTCCAGTGGGTACAGAATCCTTTTCTGACCTGGGAAGGTACCTGTGGTACATCTACATATACATGCACACAAAACAAGATAATTAAATCTAAAAATGATACAGTTCAGGCAATTTTATATTGTAACAACTAGCTGTCGGGTATAATATTTAATAGCAAAGTTAAAATTATTAATCTATTTTTAATCTGTTCTTTGAAAATTTCATAATATAACCATTTTTGTTGTTAATAAATTTATTTAAAAGTACATAGGGAGGACATTTTATAAAATCCATTTGACTCACCTGACCATAGCCAGAAAATTAAAGAAACTGGAATAATCTATCAAAATAATTTTGGAGAGTAAAGCTGATATAAATTCTATGGCTTGGTGATGAAAAACAAATGATGCTTCAAATATGGCTCATCCTGCCATCTGTATTGGAGGTATTATTAATGAGCATAATGTCACCAAAGAAATGATTTATTTTGTGCTATTAAAAGTCAAAAGATCAGGGAGGGACATTTAGGAGGATTTGGAGGAGGAAACAGGGTGAGAAAGTTGTAATAAAATATTGGTGAGTCTAATCCAAGAACATATCAGAAAAATCATCCACCATGATCAAGTAGGCTTCGTCCCAGGGATGCAAGGATGGTTGAACATACGAAAATCCATCAATGTAATCCACCATATAAACAAACTGAAAAAGAAAAACCACATGATCATCTCACTAGATGCTGAAAAAGCCTTTGACAAAATCCAACATCCCTTCATGATAAAGATCTTGGAGAGAACAGGAATAACAGGAACATATCTAAACATGATAAA